AAAGGAAAAACAAAAAGAAAGAAAAGAAAACTTTCAAAAGAAAAACATAAAGGCTTTACTGACTGATGTGTATTGCCTTTCACATCTGTTATAAAGACTCAGTGTGCGGGTTAATTCTATTAGTTACCTTGGGTAACAAGCTATTAGTTTTATGTTTCAAAGTTATTCACCACCTTTATATATACAGCTCACAGGCAAATAAACGGACTAATCCCTGTATTAAAATATAAAACAAACCAAATAATCCCATGTTCCACAACTTCTCAAAGCTGATTATCTCCTTGGTTATGCTTTACCAGAGGCCGCTTTAAAAAAAAAAAAAAAGAGTTTCTGGCAGTTTATACGATAAGCTTGTGAAAGTGAATTTAATTACACTTTAATAGTTATTCCTCTTCACACCAGACATAAAAGGTCACCAAGGAAAAGCATGTTTTCCCTGTGGTTCAACCATATTGGGTTAATAAAATGTCCTCTTCCAATGATCTCACAACTCCTAAGAGAGTCTACTTGTAGAACATGAAGATAAAGCGAGTGTTTCCAAATTTAAACAATTCGACAGAGGCAGTATAAAATATTTAAGATGATAACATTTACTGTCAAAAGAAGTTTGTAGATTCCTCTTTCTTTGATCATGTCTAATTCTTCAGGGTAAAACATAACACTTTAATTATAAAGCAGCAATTTTACATAGGTAATGATATTTATCTCCTAATTACTAAAGGACATTTTACAATACTTGTAAAAAGCACCACACATGTATAATAACTACAGCAAAAGATGGAGTTATTGCCATCAATCATGATGCTTATCTGCGTTTAAGGGTCTCTGTGCTCTAACAAGAGCTAACAGTAGTTTAGTATATCAATATTCCTAAGGGAAATTTACAATGATTTATTTCTTTGATTTATTAAAAGCCTAGTCATAGCTCAAAGGCCTCTGAATACCCATAAAATCAAGAATCTATTGCCATAAAATTAAGACATAATAGCAAAATCTCCATACAAGAAACAATCCAACAGGATAGCACCTATTGGAAATTACTCACATTATAAAAAATGTTTAAAATTAAAACTTTGACTAAGCTTTATCAATAAACTATGTTTTCATGAAATTCATTTTTTTGGTTCTATTGCTATAAAATATACCTCATTTCTAGTATAACTATTTTCTTTTTTAAAATTTATTCTGAAATAATGTATAAGTGGAGGTATTTCTTTCTACATGATTCCCTTTTGAAGTCTGCTGATACAACAAATTCAGTAAACTAATGATTTTACCATAAAAATCAGTAATTTGACAGGGTTATTTAACTATTGTTCAATAGCTATAAGAGAGTGAATAGTTAAGTGCAATCTAAAGTTTAGGAAATTATTCTCAGAATATAAATAAGTGATATTATATTATCATTATTATTATTAGACTTCAGCTTTAATTAAATTAAAAAGCTAAATATTTGAAGATATGTTTTAGCACAAAAATCTATGTGATGTGAACTACAGCCCATTAAAATTCCCTCTCCTAGTATTTTTTTAATGATACAATATTTGAACATATTATATCTTATATTTTTAAGAAAACAACTGGAGAAAAGTTATTCAAAATAATTTAATGAAAATAAAGGATAGAGTAGAAAAAAGGAAAAGAAAATATGGTTATAAAAACCACTCACTTATGCTAAGGGCCATAAAATATGAATAAAGAGATATAATTTATTCTTGGGTGGGAAAGCTCATTTATATCACTTCTTCTAATATAATCTATAGGCTCAATACAATCTCAATGAAATCAGTAAGAGATTTCCTTGGCAAGAGGAAGAAGAAAATGTTTCATTAGTTTAGATGAAAGGATGGATGTGTAAGAATAGTCAATAGATTTATGAAAATTAAATTTTAAGTACTTTCAATTCTAATAATTATTCTTTACTAACAGGTTAACTAGCAAATGATGTTTCTGGCAGCACTTTATAACAGTTAAAAACTATAAACAAGCTATCACATAGGGCTGATTATGCAAATCATATCTCATCCATACAATGAAGCACTCCATCATTAAGAATGATGATGGGACTGGCCGAGTGGCACGTTGGTTAAGAGCTGGCTTGGGACGCCAGCTCTGTGCAGCAGGGCCCCGGTTCGGATCCCACATGAGGGCCAGTGACACTGCCCTCGACAGCTAAGACGGTGAACAACAGCTCAACCTGGAGCTGGGATGCTGTAAGTCACCGGAGATGGTGTAGGCTGCAGCCCCTGCTGCAGTGGGCTGCCATAAGTTACCGTGTGTGTGTGGCCGGCAGCCAGCGTGAGCAGCCAGCAGCCAGTGTGAGCTGCCAAGAGCCACTGTGAGATCAGCGACTGATCTGCCTCACCCAGGAAGAATGCAATGATAATACCAACATGGGCCAGTGAAGCAATGTCCTCCACAACTAGACTGAAGAACAAAAGGACAGCAACTTGTCTGTTCCCCTTCACCAGATTCCCCAGCGCTGTTCCCCTCCCCCCAGTCCCCAATAAAATCTTTGAAAAAAAAAGAATGATGATAAGTTTCTGGATTTATTTTTTATGAAAGGTGTTGATTACACATTAAGTAAAAAAAAAATTACAAAATATATATAAGATATGATTCAAAATTTTGTTAACATGTGCAGAAATGCAGGATAGATTTCAAAATAGTAAATATGACTGTCTCTGGGTCGTAGGACAAAGTGATTTTTCAACTTTTATACTTTTTGATGTAGTGAGAATTTTCCATTATAAAGATGCACTATTATAATCATAAGACATTAGTTTAACATTGTGTGGGACTTTATGACACAAATAATAATTAAGCAAAATGGAAAGGAAGTGGCTCCAGACAGCTTCTGGGAAAACAAACCAGTAATAGGAGGTTTCTGTCATGTTAGGGACTCTGCTCTTTGTTCATCTGCTGTGAGTGGACAGGGATGCCTGGCATATAGGATACTGCAGGGAAGAATCACGTGTGCTTTGATTTCCTAGTCTCCATTCTCCTTCTCTTATCATTTGAATGCTGACATCAAGGTGAACACAGTAGTGATGGAGTCTCAATTCATATCTCTTAACCCTACTGCAGTCCTTATACTTACCATGAAAGCTACATTTTAAGGGTGGACTTGCATAACTAAAATGAATGATCATCCAATAAGTACATCTCTTGACATGGTCCATATTAAAATGTACCCCAGGAATTTCATATGGGAGTTTTACCAAAGATAAGAAAATTATGATAATGTGGTTAACTGTAACTTGAATCCTTCTGACAGAAAACCTGGGCCCGCCAAGTGGCTCAGTTGGTTAAGAGCGCGAGCTCTGAGCAACAGTGTCACAGATTCAATTCCCACATGGGCCAGTGAGCTGCACCTGAGCTGAGCTGCTGCTGAGCTGCCAACAGGTGGCAGGATGGCTCAGCTGGTGACACAAGTGCTCCTAACAACAAGGTTGCCTGTTCGACTCTTGCATGGGATCACAACTAAGATTGAACATGGCACCTTGAGAGGAGTGGCCGCGAGCTGCGTACGGGCAGCCGGATGGTGACTGGACTTGAAGCTGAGCTAGCTGCGCCCTCCACAACTAAGATAGAAGGACAACAACTTGGCTGTTCCCTTCCCCAATTCCCCAGTGCTATTCCCCTTCCCTAATTCACCAAAATCTTTAAAAAAAATTTTTTTAAAAACTTAATTTGTCTAGCTCTTATGCCATGTTTTAATAATAATATGGATACTAGCTAATGTGGATGTTCCACTGAATAAAAATATTTGGTATAAAAATGATTTGATAAAAATAATAACAACTTATATTTATGGGTATTTACTATATGCCAGGCATAGTTCTAAAAGCACTTTATCTGAATTAAGTCAATTATTCCTAAATATGGCCTGTGAAGTAGGTGTTATTATTATCCCTTTTTTCACTCACAGGGAAACTAAGGCTCAAAAGCTAAGTCCCTTGCCCAAGGTGACACAGCAGGTGATAAACCCGGATTGTCTTTTATTTTTATTTTTTCTGATTTTAAAAAATTTAAATATTTTAATTTTAGAATACTTTTAGAAAAGTTATAAAAATAATACAGAGAGTTTCTGTATACCTTCCTGTTTCACCTATTATTAAAATCTTACCTCATATGAAACATTTGTCACCACTGAGGACACACTGATATGCTGGTATCTACTAAACTGCACACTTTCCTTGGATTTCACTAGTTTGTTCCTAATGTTCTTTCTCTGTTCCAGGATTCCATCCAAAATCTCACATTACATTGAGCTGTCATGTCTCTCTAGCCTCCTCTGAATTGAGCCAGTTTCTCAGACTTTCCTTGTTTTCGATGACCTTGACAGTTTTGAGGGGTACTAGTCAGTTATTTTGTAGAATGTCCCTCAGTTTGGGTTTGTGTGATGTGTTTTTCATATTTAGACTGGGGTTATGGTTTTGGGACAAAGGCCACAGAGGCGAAGTGCCATTATCAATACATTCTGTCACAGCTACGAGCTACCAACATGACGTATCTTTGTAAACTTAAAGACCATCCTGAGGGACTGTTGGCCAGGCTTCTCCATTTTAAGGCTACTATCCTCTCCACCCCTCACCCTCTTTCTATGTTTTACTTTATGGAAAAAAGTTACTGATCAAAGCCCACATTTAAGTGGGTGGGAACGGGAGGGAGTTAAGCTACACATACTTGAAAGGGAGTATCTCTGTAAATTATTTGCAATTTTCCTGTCAGAAACCTCATTTTTACCCACTACTCTATATTGCCTCTGACATCCTGTCCTTTCTTACTATTTTGGCATATTTTTCATGTGCAGTAGTTTAAAAACAACATAATTCTTAACTAATTTCCTGCTTTTTTAAAGGTCCAAAAATATGTTGAATTGAATGTGACAACCAATAAATTTATTTAAAATTATTTTCCACTACCACTGTATAATGTGTTACTAACGGATGAACTAGAAACCAAGTTTTCTCAAAAGTGTTCGGTAAAGAACTTACCAGAAATATTCGTTCAAGTTGATCCTGAATGTCTTTCATTCCTGGAAAAGCAGCAACTCCTTGGATCATTTCAACAAAGATGCAGCCAACTCCCCTGAAGAGAGAAGAAAGAATTGTTACAAAACTTCAATATATTTTGCTTAGAAAACTAAGTCTAGAATTAAAACATCTACACCTACAAAGAAGAAACAATGAATCAATAATACAGAGGGTGCCAATAAAACATATACACATTTTAAGAAAGGAAAAAAACTGTATCAAAATTATGCTGATTGTAACCACTTTGAGGGCCTCTTGTAATTGCAGAAGTCAAATGTGACTTGTATTCATCTTTTGTTATTGGTATATATTGAGTATTACAATTTTAATACAGTTTTTTCCTTTTTTAAAATGTGTATCCATTGTTTTGGCACCCTCTGTATTCTTAGTGAGTACCATGGGCTATGACACGTATACCTAGATTCCAGAACTTTCCTCCCCGTCTCTGTCTACTGGCCTGAAAGGACTTTAAATGGGTGCAACTGTACTGAGCTCAGAACATGGATGAAACCAATAAAACGTAAGCCTTGGTGGCTCCACCTTGCTTACAGGACACAGTCAAGGAACTCCTTAGCCTGATACAGAAAGCCTCCCCAGTCTTGTTCTAATGGCTTTTTCCAACCTTATTTCACAAATTCATAGTGCATTCTCCTCTCTTGCTGCCCAGGACTCATACCTCTCTTTGTATCAAAATCATCTGGGAAACATTTAAAAACTGTAAATGATCTGAACACAAACCCCAAAGATTCTGCTTCAATCAGCCTAGGCTGAAGCCCAGGCCTTGACTCGCGCTGCTCTGGGGCTTTAGGGCAACTACACTGAGGATCTCTGAGCCGGACTGGTCGGCCCACGGGCCAAGCAGGAACCTATATACCTTGGCTCCAACTGCTCCACCTAAAGCTTCCTCCTTCTTCATCTATTTGCTCTTCACATGTAAATCCAACCCAATCTCTATAATCTAATTTAAATGCCATCTCTTCCATGAGGCCTTCCATGAGCATTCCAGCAAGAAGAATAGCTCCCTTTATGAGTTTGTTTGTTAAGCTTTTATCCACTATATCAGCCATCTGCTATGGTCAGCTTCCTCTCCTAGCTGAGCCTTCCATGCTCACAGTTCCTATCTAGCAGAGTAATCCAGCAGTGTATCAGGAGGCCAGGCCTCCCAGGCCACAACAGCCTGCACCTAACCCAATAGGAACAACCAATTCACAGTACAGGCAGACAGCCAGATCCTCCCGCCGGGATTCTGAAGAACAAGTCACTTGGGAGCAGGGTGGAAAGAAACAAGCCTATGTAGATGATATAATGTGCATTAATGGCAGAGAACTAGCAAAAATGATCACTTTCCTACAAATAAAGTTCCCTGAATGGACTTGGTCCCCGCCTTCCTAAGACCCAGATGTTCAGATGATCCAGTGTTTTTGCTAATCTCTCTACCTTCTAGTATTTCTCCAGGATTTTTTTTTTAAATGGCTCTACTTTGAATGGGTTTATGTTTTCTAAAAGTATACTAATGAAATCATGAACATATTGGGACACTTCTTCAATTGCTGCACTTATATTCAACTTAGGGTGAGCAAACTCTTGTGTCTAACTTATTTCAGACCCTTCTAGAAGTTAAAGACAAGGTAACTACTTTTCTATAGCTGCCCTAGTTGTTATCACAATTGTATATAAACAATTTTTTGAATTAAAGAAGTAATACATTTACAAAAATCTCTTCTCTATTATACCACATAATTTCTACCCAAATTAAACACCAATATTATACAGAGTTGAAATGACTAAAAACAAACAAATTTTACTTTATATCATAAAGAATAATTCTATTAAAGTAGTAAAAAAGTAATTTTAAAATCAGTGTTCTAGGAAGATGGGTTTTAACACAAGTTGTTTTTATTTAAGATTTCACGGACAACACAGGCATCAAGAATTATTTTACTAACATATTAAAATGCAATGATATTCTTATAAATATTGGGGCTGCAGGTGTCCAATTAGATCTAAAATTTCAATTTGGTGGATTTCCAAATTTTTATGCCAAGAATTCTTTTCTAAGACTACTCACCTACATTTTCATCATCTTCTTAAGTTTATATAAAATATCTTGGACCTCAAATAGCTATCTGCACCTTCCTTGTTTTTTACAATCTGAATATAACCTCTATTCTTTCCCCACTACAAGCTGCAAGTCTGAGGGAGAAGACCCTCAGCAGAAGCCACAGCTGCCCCCATTGTGTTCTCAGCTAAGCTGGCTGGTGAAGTAACCATTACACTATCAGAGCTACTTACAGAAATTCTTTCGCTACTGCTTGTGATTAGTGTATAACATCTCCATAATATGATACTTAGAACTAAAAGACAAATCTATGCTGTAATTCTACTCAGTTGGAATGTAATGATATAGCATATCTATAGGCTCTTATCTGCTTAGCTAGCTAGTTAAGGGACCTGAACTTGCATTTCTTAATGGATGTTTCCTATGACATCATTTTTCAAAGAAGCCTTAGGGTATACTAATGAAGCTGAGAGAATTAGACTTAAAGGAGTTATAAAAGAAGATTGATAGCTCAAGGAAATTAAAAAGGTAGAAGTATAAAACACAGCAACATATTAACATAGCTGAATACTTTATTACTAGAGCTGCCTTATGCCAAACAGCAGTAAAAGCCCTACAATTTAATACGAAAGGACTATGACCTGCTTTCCTCCCCACCACCTTCTATCTTCCATTAGCCCTGTGCTCTTTCTCTTGATGGAGTAAGTTGACTGCCCTGAGTAGTTTACTCAAAAAGAATTCATCCACTTAAGTTCTATACTATGATACACACACACACACACACACACACACACACACACACA